CAAGATGGGAAAGATGGCACCAATGCCCCCACGCCCGGTCACGAAGCTCTAAGAGAACACGACATTTAAAATGCCCTGAAGCCACTGGACCTAGAGAAGGAGCTGTGTAGTAGGACATGCAGAATCAGTATCCTTGGGATACTGGAGATGCGACACAAAATATTGAAAAAGTCCTCTGCTTGACGGTGCAGCGAAATGCTAAATTTTTATAACGACACTGATCTTGTTCAGCTATGATGGTTCTGAGGCACATTTGGTGTCAATCTCCCGCATACACTAACGAGAGATCACATCTGACAACCTTCGTTCATGAAGCTTCGCCGGTGCTGAATTTTGTTACGATCCCATCAGTTTGCATACTGTATGCCAGTTCTTTCCTTGACGCTCGTTGAGCGTAGGCACGAAAAGTGTCGAGTTTAATGGCACAAGTAACAGCTTTTTCGGTACTGATTAAATCCACCCTCATGTACCCGTAGTGATGGACGCCAAACGAGCAACCTCGGTCATCTCATTATAATTCTGAAGGCTATTTTTTACAAGAGAAGGATGACAAATCCAAATGAAACCATTAAAGGACACAAGGAATAAAGCATAATAAATACTGTTCTGAATCGTGCCGCCAACCCTTCGAATGGAAGACGGTGGTTCAGTATGTGACTGATGGAAAAGCCAAACGATGCTTGACGATTCCTGCCTGGGAAGAGAAAGTGAAGAACATTCATTACGCCATGTGGATGGTCGAGAACGGAAAATTCGGTACGTTTATCTTGTCATTGGTATGTTTATGACATGATCAGTATAGACTTAGGATTGCATATCATAATCACTAGACAATTTACCATATTCACTCTTAACTCAGGCAACTTTACACTCATTATCTTCGGTGTTTGTGGGCGATTGTATTTCTTCAAAACATTACTGTCTCAATGACTAAGAAATGCTATCTTGACTGTTTAAATATAAAATTCGTACGGTTTTTGCACTTGCACTTTCTGATCAGCGCCAAATCCGTGACGTCTTCATGACATTTTCGGCAGTAGTAAAAAGCTCTTAAACGATTTCGCATTAAATTTCACTTAAAGTGCGCTTGGTACTGCCCTCTGTCACCTTTTGACTTCGTCAGCCGACTGGGCTATGAAGAATCCTTGAGTGTTGTGTCTGACGACGATGTTAGCTTCGGGGTTGATCGCGATGTGACATTCCAGGCGATCTTCGTCCTTCAACTCTATGGCCAACAACAGCAAACCGAGTTTAGTAAAGATCAGCCTAAAATTAACATATGCAAATTGAAAATCCAAAGGACGTTATACTGAGGCTCCCGATCATTCAGCCAGCGGCACATCACAGCGGACAAAGTTTATGGACGATGTGTTACAACAGGACTATGCTTTGCCTGATGTTAAAGGTGTCGCATGGTAGTCTTTACCAACGGATGTTAGCAGATGCAACAGATCATCCACTGATTCAGAAAATGGCAGACGATTCTAATCAAGCTTTTTTCTAGTTAACGGTAAGGAATAATCAAGCTTCTAAGTTGAGTAATGTCTAGCCTATCGGTTATGTAACTTGGAAACATTCAGAGATTTTAAGGTCTGCCTTTTGCTGGTGCTTTATCCTATTTATTAAAATAAAGTGATTGAGGGCATCTAATAACGACAGGAACGTTGCAAAAATAAATGATTTTTCCCCCACTAAATCAATTCGTAAAATTTGTATCCGCTGCATTGTTCTATTTGTTTATACCATAGATGGGTGATCTGTGGAGATGATTTAGCCGCTATCCACACCTGCCAGGCGTATTTGCTTTTTTGTGTTGGAAATCCGCTTGCTTGTCATCCAGCCCAACTGGGTTCGAGGTAACGGCACTGTGAGGTTCGGATAATGCTATCCATTTTGAGGTGGTTTCTTTCCCGCACTCCCCGAAGCGGAATTAATCGCGGTTAACAATGAACAAGGATTGATCAAGGACACAAGCAATCAATATAAATGATTTGTTACCTGTCATAAATAAACTAAACACTAAGCTTACTCAGCAGCTTCTGGAAATGACATCCCAACAAAGCTGACGGACAAAGTCTCTGTGTAGATTTCCATACCTGCACCGCGCAGATAGTCGTTCAGCCAGCGGGGCATATTCTGAATAACTTCAGGTTAGGTTGTAAGCCACTTTGTCGCACCAAAGCTTTTACCTGCATAGACTTGAAAGACCTCATCGCGAACAGATTTGCCATCATCGTCGAAAATCCATGCGCTACACAACTTTGAGCAATGATTCCAAGTTTCAGCTCCGCAAGGCAAACCACGTCGTCACCTCGCTTCCAGTCCCAACTCGGTATGTTCAGCAAGTAAGCCTGAAAACTACGGAGTCAGTGATTTGCGTGTGTTACGAAAAGGTAAACGAGGTGACCGGGGGGGGGCAGTGGACAAAAAACTAATGTACTAAACGAA